TTCCTGGCTTGCAGACACTGTCCCCTTATTAAGAGAGAAATCAGGGCCCCTTGTAGGGTTCTTAGTTTTGTTATAAAAGAATTAAGAACTGATTTAAACCAAGTCCCAGGACAATTTTATTAGAGCTGAAAAGACAAACCCCAGGATGGGCAAGATGTAAATCTTGAGCTGCCAGGGAAAGAGAACTGAAGAAGAGGGAGAGAAGAGCCATGTTGTTGAGTTAAGCCTGCCAGGAGGTCACACTCTGCAGACAAGAAGGGAGGTGGGGTTTATAAAAAAGAATGAAGCAAGGAGCTGGTATACTTCTGAGTGATTCAGAAATGCAGGCAGACTCAAAGAAGCTAGTTGGCTATAACTCTGACCAACTGTGCAAAGGGCAAGAGTTCCAGGAAAGAAAAGTTCAGAGGCTCACTACAGCAATGGTTCTCAACTGTGGACCCCAACACCCCCCCACCCCCAGCCCTGTGGTGGCATATCAGATATTTATATTACAGTTCATTGCAGTAGCAAAATTACAGTTATGAAGTAGCAATGAAATAATTTTATGGTTGGGGGTCAACACTGGATGAACTGTATGAAAGAACAGCATTAGGAAGACTGGGAAACCTATGCTCTAGAGGGATGAATATTCCTCCCATCTATTCTGCATGGCCTATGTGATGTGCTTACACACACACTGAAAATAACACCAGCTCTATTAGATTATTGTTCCTCCTTTATGGCTTTATTCAATTCAACCTTAATCCCTGTCTCTAAATGCAGTCACACCAAGAGTTAATACTTCAACATTCAAATTTGTGGAGAGGGGACACAATCCAATCTAATAATGTAATTGTATTTTCTTGTTTTTTATTTTTATCTTTTTGCTGTGCTGGAGATTGAACCACAAAGTTATTTTAATTAAAAACATCTTTTAGGCTAGCACATTATTGATGACAATATTAAACACTTGTTTTAAGGTTAATTTAAAAATATTTTAATGATATTCATAAAATATAAAATGCATCTCAACTTTGCCTCACTTGGTAAGTGCTTCAACACCATTTAGTTAGAAAAAGCATGAATTATTGTGAAAAAAATTCAAGACAGGGTTTCTCTGTGTAGCTTTTGAGCCTCTCCTGGCATTCACTCTGTAGATCAGGCTGGCCTTGAACTCAAAGACATCCACCTGCTTCTGCCTCCCACATGCTAGGATTAAAGGTGTGCGCTACAACCGCCAGGTGTGAAATATTTTTAAACACAGTTCATATTGAGTGTTAGTCCTGAATATATGTTAAGATGTAGGGTGAAGTTTAACTATATGGTATTATAGTAATAAAATAGACAAAAATCCCTTTTATGACCTAATGTATTGAATTCTTACATTTATGCTTAAAATTTATTTTCATAATACTTATTTCTAAACAGTATGTGAAAAGCTTCATGATTTTATTACAAATGCACTAAATATTATAATGCATCTATTCTGCCCAATGTTACAGGCACCAGATTGGTTATTATTTTTACTCTAGTTTTCTTTCTTTTTTGTGTTTGTGTACATGTATTCAGGTGTACGAATATACATGTGTGTGGTAGCCAGAGATCAATGTCAGGGACTTTTCTCAATCATTTCCCCACCTTATTTTTGAACCTGGAACTTGACAGTTCTGCTAGACTGGCCATGGAGCCCAGGGAGCTTCCTGTCTCTGCCTCCCTAGTGCCTGACTTTTATGTGTTTAGGGGGAAACTGAATTTAGGTCCTCATGCTTTTTTGATGAGGACTTTACTGAGCTCTCACCCCAGCCCTCTACATTGTGTTTTGACATCAGAAGGCTCTACGTGAGAATTTAGATCTGAATTCTGCTTAAGCTCTAGTGAAGGCTGAGTCCAGGTTTAAACTCCTGATCAACTCTGTAATCTGTTCTTTTGTTTGTTTTGATGTTTTGCTTCTGGAGACAGAATCTCAGTGTAATCTGGACTGACCCAGAATTCATTACGTAGCCAATAATATATTAGATGTACATCAAAGGTGCTCCCCTAACTGCATTTCTTCCAAAATTTGTTACTATAAATATTGTAAGTGTTATTTTTTTATAAGAAGTGTTAGATATTAGTTTCACACATCCAGGTCACTTTGGTTTTTTTTCTAAAAGCTTTACAACAATCTACTGTCCTGCTTTTATACCATGAAAGCAGTTCATCTTCTTTTAAAAACCACTGGCTGACTATGCACCTTTCTGACTATGAGTAGGAATGATAGAGTTGCCTAGACACTGCTGGCAGCAGTTTGGATTCAGGCAGACCCAAGTTCAAACTCTGCCCCTGCTGCTTACTAACAAAATGACTTCAACAAATTGTTAATTATTTTCAGTCTGAATTCTGTTTATAAAATGGAAACATTAAATGCATTTATGTTATGTCAGGGAATTAAGAGAATTAAACATGTTTTATTTGGAGCTGATTCATTACAGGCTTTGCTCTTTGGAATATTCATGACACTATTTATAAACACAGTAATTTTATTTAACAGTTTACAAATCCCTCGGATTCTACTTGGTCACAAAAGAACAATATTCATATACTGACACTTTAAGCTAACATTTATTATCAGGGATGTGGCATCTTGTAGGTCACCCATGGTCAAGTGGATGATCCTATACCTATGCACACACTATCAGCTCTATGGATTCAGTGGGCTATAAAAAAGAAAATTAAAAAAAGGATATGCAATTGGGAGGGGGAAGTTGAAAGAGGATAAGGGTGGATATGATCAAAATATATTGTTCACATGTATGAAATTCTTAAAGAATAAATTAAATTGTAAAAGAATCACACTTAAGACTTAAGAAGCAGCTGATGCCCATCAATGGCTAAAATGAAAAGACAATACCTAAAGCTGCATTATGGGTAGGGATACAAATTGTGCAACACTTGAGAAAACTGTTTGGGGAAGTTTTAAAGAGTTACACAGACAGCAGCTGTGATGATTCTCCCCTGTTGGTAGTGCTGCTGTTGAGAAGCCGACCTTCTGGATGACCCGGTTCCTTCACGCCTTCACCATTCATCCAAGAATAGTGAAAACATATGCTTACAACAACATACCAGAATGTTCACAACAGGTTCGTTTATAATATCACCAATCTGGAAACTAAACAGATACCGTTAAGTAGGGGAATTGAAAAAGTCAACCCATAGGATGACAAACCACTTTGCCATACAAATACCAGCAACATAAAACAACATAGATTGATACATTTTAAGTATTAAATTGAACAGGAAAAGATTGGGAACAAGAAGTTAAACTGTAATGACTGAACTTATGTGAAATTCTAGCATAGGCAGAACTAAACTATGGTGACAGAAAATATATCAATAGCTGTTCCTTGAGGGTGGAGGACTAGGAAGGAACTGGAGGGAACTTTTCTAGACTACTCAGTAGACATTTGCCTACTCCACAAGAGGGAATTCAAATGTTGCACAGGGTCAAAACCCATAACTAGCAAAGCCACAAGCTCTAAGGGGAACCCACTGATGTTGTTTTTCTAAATGGCCAAGTTGTCCAACTGCCTTCTGAATATTTATACTTACACCTGTAGATTGGTGCCATTCCCAATCTTGGTTGAAAAAGCTTCTTATTGCAGTGGGTGCTGGTTAATTCATTACTGCTCAAAGTTCTGAGAAGTGACTGTGAACACTCGGCCATAGATGGGACATTTGTGTCAACACATGCTCCCCAAGTCTCAGAGATCATCTCAGAAGAGGGGGTGAAAAGATTATAAGAGCTGAAGCATGGGGAGCAGGGCTGTGAAATGCTGTCCTAGAAACATGACGTGGCTGTGACACTTAGGAACTCATGGCAGCTGTGGTTGTCAACACAGGGCCTGTACAAGGTCAAGCCAGTTAAAAATTCCAACATGGAGCAGGATGGGGTAGAGATGAGCCTCCCCAGGACCCATCCCTGGCTGAGGACCTATTGGCGGTTGATGGCTGCTGGCGAAAGGAGGGTCACTGTTCTTCGGGAATGTAGACACCGGTAGGTTTCAAATGTGCCAGTTGTTAGGATATACCTAGAGCAAAAATCTAACACCAGCGGATGATCCATGCCCATGCTCATATGGGTTCCATTAACTGGACTCAGTGGGTTAAAAAATAAATAATTATAAAAGGAGGAGATGAAGCTGGAAGATGTGATGGAGGATCCTAGGGAGAATTGTGGGGGGAGGGGGGTAAGGGGTGGGTATGATTAAGGATATGTTGTATACATGCATAAAATTTTCAAAAAGTTCAAAATTATCAATACCATTTTTTAGAAAGCTGAAGAACATTCATGAATAAAAACTTCACCATACCTCAAAACATAGAAATATAAAGAAAAACGTGTTTCCGTTGCTATGGAAGTGCTGAAATAAGGCCTGGGGAGATGGCTCAGTTGGTAGTATTTGCCCTTTAAGCAAGAAGACCTGCGTTCCACCCCAGTGTACACACCCTTCCCATCCTAGAACTCTCTATGTAGACCAAGGTGGCCTCGAACTCAGAGATCTGCCTGCCTCTGGCTCATGAGAGCTGGTATTAACGGCTTGAGCTTCAACACCAGGTGGTTTGTTTCTATTTTTTTTTTATTGCGTTATCAATATGTAAACACATTATTTAAGCGATGATGCCGACTCGCCGGTTCGTTTGTTTTGCCTTTGAACTGGCTATCTTTTGAGTTCCAATTCAATGTAGGAACTAGCCTGTGCCCTCACACGGGATGAACCCTAGGGTTCCGAAGCCCAGCTCCGTTGCCATGGCGACCGGCGGAGCGCAGGCAGTGTTTCTCAGCACCAGAGCTTAGCTCCTCAAGAGTTGCGGTCCTGAGTGACGCCACCATCCTGGAGAGCGCCTGCGCAGTGTGGCTGTCAAGGCTTGCAGCAGGTGGGGCGTGGCCTGGAGGAGACTCTGGATGCAGCTGCGCGTGCGCGCGTCCGGGCAGCGTTCCCGGCACGCCCTCTCCCTTGTCCGTGACTCCGGTTGCGGCTAGCGTACAAGAGACGCCACCCCCGGAAGCTGTTCCCGGGAGCGGAAGTGGAGGATGGGTTGGAGGCGTGGGGATCGCGCGTGAAGTGTGGCTGGTTCCAGACCATGCGGCTCTGGTGGGCGTGAGCTGAGTAATGCGTACTCGGCTTCTCGGTGAGTGACAGTCGGCGATGGTTCACGGCGGGGCTGCTCCAGT